AATACAAATGCTTCCAGTTGCTTTCTTTTTTTTAGAAGTTGTAGTTGCTCTCTTAAAGGATTTACCCGAGTACTGTTTCTATTTACAAACACATCTCCTATTGTCAGACTTCTGAGCCGCAGTAAAGCTGTGTCACTGCCTGAGACCACACTTTTTCTGTTCCCTGATTCATGTGAACACATATTTATTTACTTGAGGGCATAAGCAGTATTGTGAAATAGTTATTCATAGATTTTCTTACAGTTCTAGCTTTTAGTGTCATAGTTAATAATAACTGACTGATGACAGTTAATACTGAGCTGCTGTTTGCAAAAAATGCAACTTTTGTTTACAAGTTCTGATGTTTCTTAAAGAAGTTGCACTTCAGTTCCCTGATTCTTTCTTTCATGCGTGTAAGCACTGCTTATGGTATGTGCACAGCTCCAAGTCCATGCAGTGGATAGGTACTTTGAAATGACTGGATGGGAGGTTTAAAATCTTCAGTTTGATTTTAAAGACCATTTTGAAATCTCACTAAACAGAATTTCAGGGGAAATCAGCTTGAAAGATAAGAGTGAGATGGCAGCAAAATGGTCGCTGAGAAGTGTTAGCTATTGAAGTGTCTGTCTGCTCTCTGTGTACAGTACCAAGAACTGGAAGCTATTTCTGTTATGACAACTGAGAACGTAGTGGGCTTTCCTGAAGGTTGGCTAATTGTCTGCATCATTCATTTAGGAGCAAGATCACTGAAATGAGCTGTTTGTTCTTGCAAGCTGCCAGCAGAGGATGTCTGCAGTCTGGAGCAGAGGGAGAAGATGTGTTCAGGAAGCAGGACCTGGGCAGTGCTATAATGGCCTTTCTGCACATCAGAAGCTCCAGATGAGTCACCCACAGTGAGTCCCATTACCTCCAGTGCCCTCATCAAACACAAAGCTCATAGCTCTGTGTTGCTTTTGCTAGTACTGTAATCACCCACTGCAGGCTTTTCTTACAGAACTAGCAAGCCTGTGTTGACTATGGGTTTAGCAGCTTGAGTTCACTCATGTTTCCTATGTTTGCAGCTTCTGTTGGGGTTTCATAGCTCACCTAACCTGCAAGGGCCATGAACAAAGTATGGGAATATGCAACCACTTGCTGGCAGAGCAAACAGCTCTCAGACAAGAGGATTGCTATTGAAATGTTGTTTTGTTGGCACAATAGGCTTTCCTGGTTGTCCAAGGTGAGCCTGACCTCTGTGGTTGTTGAAGTTCTCTTGTGGGCAACCTGAGCAACGCTGGAGTGCAGCTTTTAAGATGGATTAACTGTGAACTTAACAAAGGAAACAGTTCAGAGAGAGCAAAACCTTTACATTGCACTACTAAGGATGAAACATAACTTTTGATCCTGTAGGACAAAAGTTCCAAGGCTGAGAATAATTATTTGATAGGGTCACAGTCATCTTGTCAGTGCAGAGTAGTGTTTGCAGCCTCCTCCTAGGAGAGAATTCTTCCTTTCCAGGTGCAAGAAGGGCAGCAGAGAGGCAGGCATGTGGCCAGAGGACAGAGACTGCACCCTCCTGCTGGTGAGTAAAGTAACAAAATCACGTACGCCACCTCACCCCTTCCACCCAGAGCAGGTCCCCACATGCCATATTCTAGACTTTGAACTCATTAGTCTTGATGCAGTTTCACAGGCACAAACCCAGAATTTTGTTACTAAACTGAAATAATGTGCACAGGCTGTTCCTAAGAGATACCAGTCTTGTACCCAAGTAAAATTCTGAATTGCTAACTGCATGCTGGCCTAAGGATAAACATGAATTGAGGTTTCAGGGAAAGGAGGTGTCTGCTTCTGGCTCTGCTCAGTAGCTTCTAGCCACCATCTGCAAATCTCTTAGATATTTCATAAAATGGCAGATTACTATCCTTTAACTCTTTCACCAGTGCTGCAGGGCAGAAGTGCTGGAGATTCACATGAGCTAAATGAAGTTTTCTGTTTGATTGAGGCTGTGAATTTGGTTGTGGTTTATTTTAAGATTAGTTCTTGCACTTTAGGTGTTTAACTTTAAAACTGTGCTGTGGCAGGTGCTGGCTCTGACTGCAGCTAAAAAAATCCAGTTTCTCCACAGATATTACAGGGAAATCAGTTTGAAGATTTTAATTTTCTGACCTACACATGTTTTTACTAGGAGGTGCAGCACAGTGCAAGACACTGTGCTTGACTACACAAATATATATTAAGCCTTGGTACATTAAGAATGTACAGAGTAGGATTACAAGAATTAGTTACGAATCACAGACACTTAAAAATGAAGAAACACTTCTGCAGCCTAATTCTTGTCTAACATTCAAATCTAAAATGAGAGAGATTTTAGGTGTCTAAGTCCAAGTGAAGAACCAAAAAAATCTGAGCTTGGTGCCAGCTAGACCCCTGTGCTCCAGAGTGATTATGAACACTTGTTTGACTGGTACAGACAAAGCCTGTGTACAGTCAGGAAAGACACAGTGCCACAATCAAACTTCCCTGATCCTTATCTTGCCCCTTCAACTTAATTCCATAATCAGCACTTAGATCACAGAGAGGCTGGAACTATTATCCAGGCCTCTCCTTCAGCATTACAGTATCTCAAACAAGTCCCTGCCTGTAAGGATTTGCTTTCTTCAAAACTTTCACCCAGTCCCATGGTTAACTTATATCAGCAAACTGCCTACAAAACTCTGAAGTTTAGAAATAGCTTAAGCTCAGCCCATTTCTGCCTTCAGATCACTTGGTTTTACAGTTTCCAAGCACCATCATTCTGCATCCAGCTGGCATCCATTTGACTACAGTTGCTGCTGCTGCGGGGGGGGCGGGAACCAACCACTCGTTGCTGAGTCTCATCCCGTGAATTCAGCCGAAAGAAACGAGTGCACGCCATCTCGTGGCCCTGCACAGCTATTTCCCGGCAACGAAGGGAGGGAGCTCCAATTGCGACGAGGTTGGATGTGGGTAAGATTTAAAAGGCGGCTTTCAGAGGCTCAGACACAGCCCCACCTTCTGACCCCCCCCAGCTAAGAAACGTTCACCATTAGTGCTTTGTCCACACTCCTGCCTTGACCTTGCAGCCTGGAGCAGCAGCAGAGCATCAAACTGCAAAAGGCACTTCTTCAGCACGTGCTCACATGGCTGTTGAGGCAAACCAGTCCTCACAACAAATCCAGGGTGCCAGAGAACACAGCCCCCAGATCAGCTTTTGGTGGAGCAGGATATCACTGTATTCATTTTAGAGTAGGTCATACACATGTAAATAATTTTTAATTACATGCAAGGCTGGGGATGTTCATGGTACATCTATTTTCATCTGCTGTCAGGACTTGTTAAAGAACTCCATGTGTCAGTGCTTTAAATAAAGCTAATGTGCCTGTTCCTAACTGTTCATTAACAGCTGAATATATGAACTCATGAAAATAAGGTTACATCAGCTGTCAGTCCTTTGGTGTATCTTAAGTTCCTATTCCTCCATAGTCTCTCTTTTTGGTGGGAAAATCAAGTAATTAAGAGACAGAAGTGATTAAGGTACAATTTCATCACATCAAGTCGAGGGAATTAAAGAGGGGCAGAGTAGAGCAGTATGACTTCAAGGCCTGTGTTTTCATTTTGAGTAGTAAATGTTCAACTTCCCAATGTTCATGACTTTTTAGCTAAGAGATTACAGCTTAAATCTGCACCACTGAATCATCTCCAAATCTGAAGTCACATTTTCTTCAGCAGAATTGCTGATGGTAACACTGCCTTAATTCCACTGCTCTTGTAGCTGTCAAAAGACTGGATATATAGTCAGCAACAAGGGACTTAAAATAGCTAACAGAAATGTTAAACTTCAGACTAAGCATCTTCTTTTGTCTGCTACTAGAGACAAGTGCACAAGACCTATGAAAGTTTGCAGCTTGCTGTTGCAAAGCATAGAATCATGCCAGAGAACACTGTGCCATACTGCAAGAAAAAAACCATCTACCCAAGGACTCTAGTTAAAAACATCTGATTACAATCAGCAACTGCTCTAAATTTGGTTTGTGATAAACATATTTTTACTCTTCTTGCGTTGGAAGTGTGTTGGAACAAAGTTGCAGGAAAGGCTGTCAGACCTGTGAGGCTCAATGAAGCTTGATACCAACATACTTTCTCTGACAGAGGAAAGAAAAGAGGAACATCCTTCTTCTCATGTCAAGGTTTAATTCTGAGGTATACGACACTGGATTTACAAAGGTAAATAAAATACATTCTGAGAACCAGCAAGTGCCCTACTTAGCAAGGCAGAGGGATTTCACACTCCAAGCAGCTGAGAAAAGAAACTGCTTACAGTATGAAGAAGTATTTGGGGTCTGTCTTTGACATGAGCTTTTGCCATAACAGATGATGAGAAATGTGCAGCAGTGGGGCAGAGGAAAGACAAATACTTAGGTGATAAAGCTAAGACAGGACAACAGGTATTAGATAAGGCTTCCACTTGAACAAATTGAGACATTATGACTACGATCAGAAGGCAGATGCAGCTACTGTTCCAAACACTGCTCAGGCAAGCTACATTGCCAAAATTAATTACACAGCTGTTGAGACAGACTTCAGCTCAAGCCTGCTGAGGATATGGGTAAGTTTGCATATGCCTGTAGCAACCACATATAAATGAAATCCCAGGAATACAGAAGGACTGGAGTGGTACACAAGAGTTTTCCTCATCAACTGTACCCAATAACAAAGGCAAATGCTATCACCTGGAATACAGTGCACGTAACAGTTTCTACAAGTGTATAATCTACAGCTAATCTGCAATTTTTGTCCTAAATATGAATTTAAAAAGCCAAGTATGAATCATATGGAGGCCGATTTAATGACTCATTGCTGCAATGGATTTAACACAAGTGCTGATCCTGCCTGCCATTAAGATGTCTGGCATTCCCTCTTGGATCCATTCCTCTGGAAAGGGAGCCTTTTCACAGATCTGTGCTCAAGAGAGCTAAGCTAAGAAAAATGAGATTTAAAGAATTAAAAAAAAAAAAAAGCTATTTTGTCACACAAAGAATAAAATTCCAGGAATTTATTGCTATATGTATGCTTAATCCATTAATTCACCTTACAGTAGTCATGAAGTGCCAAATTGTGTGCTACATTTAACATTCCACGTATTCCCTTCCAGATGCCATTTTACAGTGGGCGTATGGAACAACGCAGCAGTGGTCACGAAACAGGGCTGGAGCATCTCTCAAGAGCTTAAAGACAAAGGTTTGTGTACAAGCTGAATAACAACATGTCAGTTAACAGGCCACTCAGCAATTTTAACAGAAATATCTTCAGGTGGAAGTTTTGCAGCGTTAAAATTCACAACTCAGACTGAACATTCTCATCCCCACTGTAGAAACAAGATACTTGCAAAGAACAAGAACTATGGTACGTAAATGTCACACGCAGGACCCGCTTCATTTCTGTCAGAAGCAAAAATTGCTAATTATAAGCGAGGACAAGCCTAGCAGGGTAAGGCTGTCAGCCTCTATTAAAAACACATACCTCAGAGTTTGGCAGTGGAACTCTATTTACCACCTTGACTTTTTTTGGTAACATACAAGTTCTTCCTCCCCCCCACACTTTATAAATCCCCTTTTATTTTTATTATACCTCCATATTATTTACAGGATTTCTAAAGATTAAGTACAAACTAGTATGAAATTAATGATAGCTTGCTTTTCAAATATGTATCCCATGGCTAAATAAATACCAAGCCAATCCAATAGAGTGATCTGGAGTTATGATTCAGAAGCTTGTGTATCTGTGATTCCAGCTGTTTTTTCATTAGCTGAAGAGGATTCATTTGATCTGTCAACAATAGTTGCCCTGGAAGTTGGAGCAGCACTATCCAAGGTGAGTGCAGAGGTCTCCTCTACATTTTCAGGAGTGCCAGGGTTGACGGAGAAGCTTCCAGCTTGAGGAATAGAGGGAAGCAAATCTGTAGGCACAGTGGATGCCTCTGTGACCAAAGGAAGCACAGGAACACACTTGGGTGGCATGGCCAGAGGCGTTATTCCCATCAGATGCAGAGGTGGCAAGGGGGGAAGGGGTTGCAAACCTAAAGAGAAAAAAAGGGGGAAAAAACCACAGTGAGCGGCTGCACAGCACAGACAGCTCAAATGGTGTTTGTGCAGCACTGACTCAGCAGGCTCATTTCAAGCCTGACACTTTTCAGATTTCAGAACTGAAGAACCAGAGTAAATTCAAGGTTTCTTGCACCTCCCCAGAAGACTAGGCACTTAATGCATTAACACTGTGACTGTGATTGTCTGGCCTTCACTGAAACTGTCAGAAACAAGAAGTTAACAAAAATCATATTACGCACAAGCTTCCAATATCTTTTTCCTTGCTCCATGAGCACCTTCAGCAGTTCTGCTGAATTCAAAACTATAAATCTCACATTTGTTCATAATTCTGGCATTCAGTTCAGGGAGCTCCAATCTCCTCATCTATCTTTCAAGGAAACACTTCACATTTTCTTTTACCCAAAAATAATATACGTCCACTTCTGGTGCAATCTCTTCCAAGATATAAATCAGGTAATAAAAAACCGCAACATCTAAACACAGACACAGGTTTAGAATTAGTTTATCTAAAGAGATATTCCTCATCTACCTGATCTGGGCACTAACATCCACTCCCATCTGAGGCAAACATTTAATTTATCCCCTTCAGGACTCCCCCCAATGGGTCTACATCAGACTGTCAAGGATAACTCTAATTACAGAGTTTCAGTTTGCAGAAGCACATACCAGGCTGTATCATTTCTGGAACAATCTGTGGTGCAGGTAAATTAAGTTTGGACAGATCAGTCAGGTTAGGAAGCCCAGCTGGTAATGGCATCAGACCTAAGAGAAGAGTGAAACAGTTACAGCTGAAAACTTAAAATTGTCTTTTTCTTAGAATTTCTTAAAATTGTCTGTTTCTTAGACCTTGTTGATAATTTAAAACGTGCTTTAAATCTTTATCATAATTTTTACATGGAAGAATGCAAATTCACCTGAATTTCAGCTTTTAAGTTGCACAGTGAGAAGAGATACCTACTGAAATCTGGACTAGCAAATACATAATCCCAAACTTTTCAGATTTTTCTTATTTCAGAATTAGAAGGTTTGCATTCCAAGTTCAGCTTTCAAAGGTAGTTGTTTCACCACAGCACTATATCAGAAGTTCTCCATTCCAATTTGAGTGGCAAACAATAATAATATGATTAAATACACAGTATCCCTTGATCCCTAATCTTGATCACTCTATTATCAGTCTTTTCTACTTAGTTAATAACTAAAGTTAATCACAAAAATGTACATCAAAAGGCAAGACAAAGGAACTTTCAAAGTCAGAAAGGACTGAAAGTAGAAGAGAAACATACAATGAATGCAACACATGCCCTTCCATCACTGTGTTTGCTATGGAACATCCTTCTGCTCCTGAATTTTCCACTTTAGAAGAGCTTCATTTCTGGGACAAGGGCTCTATTTGTACTTTGTGTTTATTTCAGAAAAGGATAATTCAGAAATAAATTGTTGATACGGCAGTGTGAAGACAGAGAGGAGAAAAGTCTTAAAGCAAGGTGACTGTACAGAGATTTTGAAACTCAGTCATCTTTACCTACCCATGAATTCATTTCCTATAATGAATTGACATAATCTGATTCAAACAGCTTTCAGGTCAGCTACATGCAAATTTGTTCTAGTTTTTTGTTGTGTGTTTTTATTTTTTTTTAAACTGAAAAAAGCTGGACTTCATACAAATTCACTGAAATTTTAAGCCTCCAGTATATTTAGTAAGAACAATTTCACTATTACACCCCTGCAAATTGCAAGAAATATTCTAATTTGCTTTTAAAAAAGCAATGATACTATTCAGAGAAAAAGGCGAACAGAAACCTCGTATTTGCAGAGTTTAGGGAAGGGATGGATTAGGCACCTGGGGAAGAAAAGGACAATAATCTTTTTCTTCCTAGATAAAATAGAAAACTACTAACAAGTTCAGCTTCTGTGAGAGTTCTCTGCCCTTGTTTGCATGCACTGAGCTCTACTGCACACCTTTCTGTGTTGGAGGCTGTTCCTCCAAGTGTTATGTAATGGATACATCTTCATCTACTTGTCTCATAACAAGCAAAACATAAAATACAACTCCTTCAGTGTCCTGGAAGGCACAATTGAGTCCTGCACCAGCACACCAATGCCACAGCAAAATCCTATACAATCCTTATTTTACCCCTTGTGAATACTTCTGGAATAGCAGTGTTTGAAATGTTCATTATTATCAGGAAACAACCACACTGTAGAAAGACTCTTACTGTATTATGCCAGTTTAAATTCCTATATAATTCAGAAACAGTAACTGCAACATGAATTCTATATTGTCAGCCCTGTATTCATACTAGAATAGTGATCAAGCTGAGTATTTAAAAATGGGTTTCCTAAAATGTTGCAAATAGCAAAGCAAAACCTTCCCAAGAAATCCTGAATACTGCATCCACTGTGCAGGGAACCCTAAAAGGTAAACTGGTAACTCTTGTTGCCAGGTCACCCTCTGTGCTACAGACATGCTGTGAACATACTCCAAGAAAAACAGTTCTTCACACTGTAGAGGTTGCATAAAGAGAGATCTTACATGAAATGCATAAGTTGTATGAAGTTATACCTTCCCCAAAAAGCAGTGGGAAAGGCAGCTCTCTTCCCCTGCTCCTGTAAGATTTTTGTTTCAGAAATGTTTTCAGAAATTTTACCTACTCACCTGGTAATGTAGTTGCTGGGTTAACTGGTGGCACAGAGGTAAGGGACTGACTGACTTGTGGTGGTAATAATGGGACTGTTGGAACACCTGGTGGGAAACAATATTGATTTTAAGCATACAACACTTCATCTTCTTTCCCTAAGGAGTACAAATAAATAATTGCTCACAGGAGAATTACTATTTGCCTTAACATTAAAATGCTGATAAGCCAAATAGTATTCTAAGTAATACATGTGGTATTTTTAATAGAAGTTGTTTGAAACTATTTTGTGAGCAAGTAAGGCACAAATCCAGTACATCAACCTTTTTGTTGAGAAAAATTTAGGAGAAAGTTTTATTCTCTCTTCTGCCTTCTATTCAATTAATTAGAAACATCTGTGAGAACAAAAAGTCAAAAAAGCCATGCACTTCAGGTCAGTGCCTTACAATACCAACCTGTGCTGAGAACATTACTGACAGTAGTTGAAGGTGAGCTAATAGAAAGCCCCGAGAGACTCTGCTCAAGGCCTGCTGACCCAGGAGGGAGGGTGCTTGAGGGATTGACTGATGATAGCTGAACCTTATTGAAAGAGAAAAGGAAGTTGCACCATTAGGGTTTGTTTCTACATGAACCAAGAGAGGCAGCAAAGCAATAAAATCATCATCCATTTTTACCAAGGCAAAGGAGAGGGATCACAACTCACCTCTGTGAAACCATCTTTGAGGGGACTGAGAGATGCACTGGGCAACTGCCCTGGGAGAGAAATCTTCTTTCCCTCTTCAAATGGGCGAGTAGGTATCCTATGCAAATATCCATAACCAATGCCACATCCTAGGCTTTTAAAAAAGGAAGATTTTTAAGTCAGGTAAGTGACTTTACAGCTACAGACTACAGCAAGCAACACATGAACAACTCAAGACCACCAAGCTTCAAGGTAAATGCTGTACAACCTTCCTCTCCTGCCCTCATGTTGCCTCACATTTTATGGAGAAATAATCAATACAAAACAATTGAAAAGAAAATCTTTAGTTTTAGCAATAAATACTCGACACAAAATAAAATTCATTATTATTTAAATCAAGCAGCTATACCAGGCTATATACAGCTTGGAATTCAACTCTCTGTTGTTACTTGCAGTGCTGTGTTCTGGCTTCAAGGATGTACCACAAGCTAATGACTATTTGGAATTTATTGCAGAAAGAACCATTGCACTTTATGCACTCGCTAATTTACTGATTTACACCCCTCTCATTAGTAAGGGCGTCTGAATTTCAAGTAAATATATAATTTGAGGAGAAACGCTTTTGATATAACAGCACTCTTTCCTTGTCTTTGTGGAGAAGTTAAATCCAGCAGTTTTCAGGCTGGTGCTATAAGAAAGTTGCCTCATTCCCCTGTAACACATTGGCTCCTTACCTGCCTTCTCCACCCCAGGCAGAATTTGGAGTAATCACCACTTCCCGACAATTATCTGTGTCTGTGTTGTACACATAAAGTTTTAATGGCTTTGCTTCATGTGTTTCAATAAGGGAAAAGAGATCTTCAGACTGCAAAAAGAGAAAAATGAGTAAGGGCTTTCTTGTCCTTATTTTATCATTTGGCATTAGATCATCCTGGTCCTGACTTTCTGTAATGGACTCTGGTAACAGCCACACTGCAGTTTTTGCAGTGCTGATGTTTTATCAAAAGGCCAACTTTAAAATGTGTTTTGCTAGCACAACTCAGAACACGTGGCACAGCCCAGATTTCAAATCTGCTATGCAAAATATTAATTTTAGAGTACAAAAGTTTGTATCTGATATATCATGAAGATATTTAAGAGCAGCTCTTATTTCCAGGATTGCCTTTAAGAAGAGGCACCATGCCAGAGCTCCTTCCTCTTTGCATCTGATTTCCATTCACACTGAACAGCGACAGAGCCAGGGATGTTTCAAACTGCCCTGGTACAATTGGGTTTTTAGTTTTTAAAAATAAAGACCTTATATTTTATACTTACCTCATTCATGACAGTATCTGCTCCAATGATATAGTCACTATGAGGTCTAAGTCCAGCTAATGCAGCAGGAGAATTTGGCTCCACCTCCTAGTTTTAAGATGGAAAGTTACAAACCACGATGTAAGTGTCAGGGCATAGCAGGACAGACAGATATGCACTTCACACAAGCTCTGTGTCACACAAACTAGTCAAGTTTTCAACACAGTAACAAACTAATGAAACACTGGCTTATGGCAGCCCCTTTCCACATGGTTCTGGTGTTGTACCAAATACAGTATCTCTGAGCATTGTACAAACCCATTCATTGAAATACAAGACTTGACAATACAGCCACAAATATACATTTGTGTGGGAAATGAGTTTGTACAGAATTCTCAAAGCCTGACAAAGAAGGTTCAAAAGTCTTTCCAAACCCAAAATCAATCAAAGCCAGCCTGATTAATGAGACCACCTTGATCTCATGACTTGTTAACTTGCCCATCCCATCAAGTTACTTTTCAACAGGAAGACAGAAACACCAGTACTGAGAACATTTCCCAGTCCATACGTACCAAGACGTGCCAGACGTTTTCATTGGCCCCATCAAAGCTGCAGAAGCGAATGCTCACTCCCAGCAGGCCCTGCCCACCCCACATGTTGCTGGGGGTTACAGATGTCTCTCTCAGTTCCAGTGTTTTGCTACTGTACACAAGCATTTTGACAGGTTTTTCAACGTTTGCTTTCAGCAGGTCCTTGAGAGTGTCATTGTCTTTATTCTGCAAATGTTTAAAACAGAGTTTGGGTCAGTGTTTGAAAGACCAAGCATTCAGTTCTACAGCAACACTTGTATTCCAAAGGTGCTACACTGCACATTACCAGAACATGGATTAACAGCTGCTTTGTAACAGGTTTCCAGTCCCTTCATAATTCTAGAATACAACTCTGGAAAACCCCTGGGACTTCACAGCAACAGGTCATACTTTCCAAAAGGAAAGCACTCCAGCTGGTTCAGAGGCTTTCTTGAATGCAGGCATACTGGCACAGAGCTTCCCACAGCTGGTTTTTTCCACTGCTGTGATGATAGCTCTGCTTGGAGCTCCCCCCATGCCTCCTGCCCAGCCAGCAGCTCTGGCAGCAGCTTTTCACTCAGCTGTTTGGACTGTGGGAAGTTTGTGGGTTCTCATGGAAGCAAACAGAACTAGGAGGGCACTAGCATGAGCCATGAGAGGTGATCAGCAGGCAATTCTGTCTTGGTGTAGATGTCTGCAGAGAGCAAGTCTGTCTTATCCTCCAGCTAAACCCGACAGAACAGTTCCTACAGGGTATTCAACTCCTGATGCAGTTTGCCTTCCTCATTTTAAAGTATGAAGAAATATTTTATATACATTTAAATAAAACAAATTCATTGGCTTACCTATAAAGATCATATTCTCAAGCCATTGTTTATATTAAAAGTTATAAAATAGCAACACACTTACCAATCTTGAACCGTTAATGGACACGATGAAATCAAAGAATGGCTCCAATCCAGCTCTATGCCCTGGTGAGTTTTCTTGTACCTAACAAAGTTAAATAAGAATTTAGTAAAAGTGTTTCAATGCTGATTCACAGATTAGAATTATATTTCTACTTTTGCCAGCTGTAGTTCTAGAAGCTACTAATGTTTGTACATATAATTTTAAAATATTCAAATATAATAATATAATCTATAGAACCAAAAACTCCCTCCCTTAAAAAAAATACAGATATTTCAAAAGAATTAGTCATTTATAAATTGAGGAATGACACAGGAGTAGGCACTCCCTGGGAAAAGCAGTGCTTATCAGTTGCATCAGATAAGCTGCATTTGTTTCAAGAAAGGAGATTATAGTGAAAGGACAAGGTTAATGAATTCTGAAAAGGTTGGTTAAAAAGTACCATCTTTCCACAGCAGTACCAACATTGGACCTTGCTTTTTATCTTATGCTTCCTAAAGGAACAGGAGAGTCACATCTGTAAGCACAGGCTGTTATCTCGTGATTAAACACCCGGTGACATTCTTGAGACACAGAGGGCACCTGTACAACCAGATTTCATTAACACACCTTCAGGCTGCAGGAAAAGGGACATGCAATTCTGCAGCCACGGCAGCTCAGATAATTCAACTACTCCACTAAGACAAGGCCCAAGTTTTGGATACACATTACTCCCAGAAGCTAAAAGCATGCTTTTAATTCCAAATGGAACAACTGAGAGACATTTTGCCAATGTTATTTTTTCACTATTGCTTGCATTGCTGACAATGAAAAGTAACTCTAACATGGCTGTCAGATTTTTCCTACAGCTTTTTTGGTAAGGACACTTTTTCTGCATGGAAGCTGATTCATTTTACCCACTGGCTTTTTCTTTTATGTACTACAATCACCTTTCAAAAAGATCTAAAAAACATTACCCTTTACAGTGTGGTTCCTTACATTACATGTTATTCTACCTGACAGAATTGGTAAAAATGTATTTGATTGTTCAATACTGGCCTGATTCTGCAGGAACTGAATTTTCTTAACATGACCTATCTAGAACAAAATATTCTAATATGGAATTTTAAAAGTGCTTGATTACTAATAAAACTGTTCTTCTAGAATTTTATTTATCTTTGCCCAACATGTTCATAAATCAGAGCTTGGAAAAAACTCAGATTACTTGTGGGTAACAGATGCCCAAAGTTTAGAACATTAGTCACATAACCTAAGTCTGGAATTAGTAATTCCAGAGTCACATCACACACACATTGATTGCTGTCCAAGATTTGCAAAGCAGCAAAAAAGTACGAAATCAACAACATGCCAAAGTAATAAGAATCACTGAGGCAACAACAACATCCCCAAAGTCCACATTTATATTTCTAACTAGGATTTGAAGTGTGTCTTTAAAAGTGCCTCCTCAAGATGTCTGTATGCTCCTTGGAAATAATGCCCCACGGCTGGGGTACAGCTATTCTCTCTCTCCAAGAATTAAGTATATGGAACCACATCTCCCAGTCACTGGAGTGAATATGCTGCAGTCCCTCTAACCAGACCCAAACTATTGCCTCCATGTTACTCCCTCACCCTGTCTGTTCCACATGCCTCTCACCAAGCACAGCCAGAGACCAGACACCAAACTGTGCACCAGCTAGTAAGGTAAAAGTATAAGCCAAGCTGCATGGGGCAGACACCCTGCTTCCAGTTCCACAGAAACTCGCAGCACATTGTGGATGTGGCTTTGCCATTGTGGACTGGTTCTTCAAACTTGCAATAATGTATGGCTACCTGAGGACAGCCTCCACAAACAGAAGTTTTAGCTTAGGAGAAAAGAGACAGAGACTAAAATTCACTATATGAATTATTTTTCCCAAATGCAGAAAGCATTTACTTACTATGTTGAATACTTGAGACCTCCTGGTCAAAGAGAGGTTAAACAGTTTTGTGAAAGAGAATAAAAACCTCTGCTTTCCTATAGACATAATTGATAATGGTATCCTCAGACTTGCAGTTTCTCTTGTAATCAAGCAATTCAAGACATCCTCTCCTTTCCTGGGTTTGAGTAGTGATTGTAGGATGAGTTTATGCTGTTTGTTGTTCTTGCCTCAGTTTAGAGAAGTGACATGGAAATACTCCAGTAACCTCTCTCTCTCTTATTCCACCATCTATTGCACAGGTCATACAGGAACTTACAGTTTGTGTTTTTAATGAACCTGACATGCAGGCTTTATACCAAAATTAAATCAGCAGATGGTTTCAGAACTTTCTGGGAAAACAGTTTCTGGGGAAAAAGATGTAACATGTGTTAGTTAAACCTCAGCATTAAAAATCAGTACATCCAGCATAATACATCAGATTTTTGGGACTGGATATATGTCATGGCCCTGAAATTATGAAAGGCCAGGCTTCATCTCATTCAGAGATTTTCCTCCATTTCTAAATGAAATTTCTTTGAAATAAAAAACCAAACCATACCAAAATCACAACAAACCCCCTGCATCCTGACAGTATCCCTCCCTAATGACCTCCAAGAAATTATATCCTGAGCACTCTGAGCCAAGAGTGGCCACTATTCAAAGAACAACTTTTTGAAATAAGATGGAGTACATACAATAAATGAGACATCTATCAATGTCAAACTCCTGGATGGATAAATAATTTACTTAGAATACCAAATCTGTGCTCTGCCCCAAACTGATGAAAGGACTGAGAGAGTTTCCAAGTTCCAAATGATTCGTTTGCAGAAAGTATCTTCAGACATTGAACTCCTTGCCCCAAACCCATCACAATCCTGAACACCTCTGCATGGTTTATTTCTAGGTGGGCATGTAAAAACTCCCAGGAAGCTGTAGCTGAAAGAAATCAAACCCTTATATTTGTGTCAATCACACCTCAGAAGCAGGGACATGCATCCCTTCTGTCATCCTGCTGTGCACAGGTTGTCACAGAGTTTCTATTTCCCTGGCCTACCTTCACTGATGGAAAAGCCTCTTCACACCTGGCACTCCCAGAAATTCTGAGTTCATTCCACATGAAAAGTCTCCTCCTTAAAGAAGTGATGGGCTCAGCCCTGCACGACAACGGCACTGACCCCAGCAGGTTCTGTCACACCATCTCACTGAGGCACTGCCTGCCCAGCTCATCACCACAGTGCCAAAGGCACAGCACAGCTCTCTGCCCCAAGCTCTGTGCCAGGATCTCTTCCAGGAGCTACAGCAGCAAAGGATAACCAGGGACCTTAGAAAATACAAGGACACAAATTATTCCACCTTTATTAAGGATGGAGATAATAGAGATTCCATGGATCTGTATATAAACTCTGTGCCTCCTGAGCAACTTGGCTTTATGCAGCTTTGCTGGGTGCCCCAAGAAGGTATTTAGTAACTTGCCTTTGTAATTGAATAATTGCTGAGAAATAACCAAGTAACAGAATTTACAACATGTGCTACTGCAGGCAAGATACCATCCCCAGCAGCTTGGGAAGCCTGATTCTCTCAAAGCCAGCTGTTATTTCAGAAATACAAGTCACAGACCTGTATGGGTAAACACCATGATTTTCTAACAATAGAGACAAACAGTGGCACAGAAAATACAAAGAAGCTGTGGCAATGCAATATCAGACCTTTTCAAGAGCAAATTAAGAAAATCTCTGTCAAATGCTGAATATCAGAGGGCAGAAAAGGGCTTCACACTATGCTGCAGGGCTTCAGTTTCTCACCAAGATGACAGCAGGGCTGCTGAACACATAGATCACACACTGATTTCACTTTTAATTCACTGTCAAGAATTAAACAGGAAAAAGGTTTCAAGGTCAATACACCAATTTTAATTTGCAGTCCTGAAAAGACTCTCCTGGTAAATAATGAAGTTTTTCTTTGCTGAGCACTGCTCCCAACACTACCATTCTATGCCTACACAGTATACATTGCACATTACATATTTTAAGAAGTCTGCTCAGCAGCACAGTGGTCACAATTCGAAGCCCCAAGAGAGCAGTGCAACTGCAAATGGAATTAGGCACTGAAATGTGCATTTTTCAGAGGCAGATGAAGGCTCTGACCACTTCTGAAAGTCAGCTACCTTCTACTAGTGTTTAAACTTTTAGAAACTTAGCTTCAAGCATTAAATACACAACTTCCAAGGCTTTCTTTTTTCCCCTCGTAAGAAACTCTCCCCAGTATTCTACTTTATTAGCAAAGAAATACTGAAAGGCTTTTTTGCTTTCACCCACTCCATAACTGGCAGTAAAATTTCATTATGTATCATATATAAGCAATTCCTGCTAGATCTGTAGAATCTCTTTCATTTCTGTCATTTATTTTAATACATTACACTGTATTACTGAATTTAATTTCTTGATGAAACACAGTTTTCAAAAGAAAAAGCTTTGTAAGTTTCTGGTAAGAAAACAGATTCTATCTATGTAGATAACCTTTTATTTTAGCACAGAGAATTTAACTCAAGCTTTTAAAACGTGAACCTCCCTTAAAAGATCACTTCATGCAACATGTTTGTATCACTATTACAACAAACTGAAGCACACAAACAGGAGTGGGAAGTCTAAACTTCGGCCACTGCTGCCAGTATCTTTTAGGGAGAACACCATGTAACATGGCAGCATACAAATTTCTCACACATAAGAATTCCTACACAGAATCTTACAACAATTTCATTTGGAAAATACCTGTATGACCATTGAGTTCAACCACTAACCCAGCACTGTCAAGTCCACCATTAAATCTAACCCAAAGGCCACATCTACACGTGCTCTGAAAGTTTTCAGGGATGGTGATTAAACCACTTTTCTGGGCAGCCTATTCCAATACCTGGCCACCCTTTCCTAAAAGCCAGTCTCTGAATCTCTCCTGGTGTAACCTGAGGCTCTTTCCTCTTGTTTCATCCCTTGTTACCTAGGAGAAGAGGTGACCCCCACTTCACCGCACCCTCCTCTCAGGGGGCTGTGGAGAGCCACGAGGCCTCCCCAGAGCTGCCCTTCTGCAGGCTGAACACTGCCAGCTCCCTCAGCTGCTCCTCACAGCTCTGGAGCTGTGCTCCAGAAC